TGTAAAATGTAGTTGTCTTTATTATTCACAACATTGGATTAAAATAGATGGATGATTCAGATAAGTTCTTTTGTTCTTCTTTCTTGATGTTCTCTCTTAACCCACCTTTCTCTCTCTCTCTCTCTACATATATATATTGGCAAGACCAAATGAGAAGAAGATCAATTTATGAAAATATAAGAATTTTCAAGATCATATGTGATTCCTGGAGTAAAATCAAATGAGATACAAAGGATGCGAGCAACTTGGTCAACACGAGTAAGGGTTGCGGGAACTATCATCTGCTCAGTCAATGCAACATGTTTGTATCACATGTAATTACGTTTTTTGTATTAAATGTGATTACGTGTTTTGTATTACATGTAATTAATCTTGGAACTTCTTGTTTTTTTGCAAATTGATTTTTGTCTTCTTGTTTGATCCCGCCTCTCTTTCTAACGAAATATGGTCTTATAAATAACTCGATTGTTTCCTAATATAAAGTTTGTATGGATTAACTGTTGGTGATTTTACTGTCATCAATCATTTTGTTGTTATTGTGATTCACTCGGGAGCGATTAAGGTGATGAGACGAACATAAGTGAGTTAGGAGGTGCAAAATGCACAATCACAAATGTTGTTGATATCACCTTAGATCGCAATAAGGCGGGAATCCCAAGGTTTTTGGAATTTATAAAGAGTAGAACGTAGTTAAAGTCTTACTAAGTATAAGTCTGGCTAGGGTGAGCAGAGCTCTAATCATTTTGATTAGATCTCAAAAATCACCTTGGAAATTGCCTAAGTGTTTAAGTTTGAACAATGCACTCAGACTTAAATCCTAATTTTGAATCAATGGAACCAGAGATCTAAACTTTGAGTTCAAACTTAGAAATTTTAGCTAAATGTTAAATCTGAACCTGAAGAGTCAGATGTCTGAACGGTTTGCGTAAATTGACTAAGTCTGAACTCTGGGCTCTAGAGTCGGACTTAGAGTCTTTATGATCTGACTTAGTTTTGAATGGAGTCAGACTTTGATCTTTGAACTCTGATACATTTATAACTACTCTTCAACCTTATTCATTCTAGGTATATAGATCTCGATTTCACAACCTTTGAAACGAAAGAAAAGCTCAAGAATTATCTCAATACTGAATTTGTGAACCCAGACTGTTAGGGATGAATTATTATGTTTGGAAAATGTTCCACGTGTGATTCTTGAGATTATTCAGTTGTATCAACAAGTCCTATCACCGTCTCCACAACCATATATCTAACATTAAAACATTTACATTGTTTTGTATTTGAAACCATATATATATATATATATATATATATATATATATATATATCAAAACTTTTTGCATGTGCCAAATAAAAACTATGAGTAAAGGACAAATGAGTTTTTTTTTTAATTTAGAATTTGCAGAAAATTTAAAATTATTGGAATTGGAATGTCAAGGATAAAGTACTGTATTTCTAAACCCTAAGGTTGCCTTTAGTCAGGCTGATCGATTCTGGCTTCTTTCTTCCAAGTATTTTTTTCATTTCTTTCAACATTCATTTTGTTCATAAACGTATTTTTCTGCTTTAAATTGAAGAAAGCAATATACTTTAAATTTAATTAAACTTTTTGAATATAGTTTCATATTTTCTAAATCAAATTATAAGATAAATGCAATGTCATTCGATTTAATGAAATAGCTTAATTCACCCTATATATTTGCTTATTCATGTCTATGTCTGTAAACGAACCAAACGAACACGAACGGAGGTTTGTTCATGTTCGTTCGTTTAACTTAACCGAACAAACGAACGATAAACGAACGAAAATCTTTGTGTTCGTGTTCGTTCGTTTAGAAATCAGGTGAGTTCGTGTTCGTTTATGTTCGTTCGTTAACATGCTAAACGAACGTAAACGAACGAACATAATCAAACGGACTAAACGAACATAAATAAATATTATTTGAATTCAAATTAAATAAACAAAAGATTATATATTAAATTTAACATATAAACGAACGGTAAACAAACGAACGTTCACGAACATAAATGAACGAGCGAGACTCTTGTTCATATTCGTTCGTTTAACTAAACGAACATAAAAAATTGTTCATGTTCGTTCATTTATTAAATAAACGAACTTCCCACCAAACAGTTCACGAACGGTTTGCTAAACGTTCGGTTCGTTTACAGTCATATTCATGTCTATTAATTTGTTACTGTTTCACAAAGTTGCTTTGATTTTCTTCTTATTCGCCCCGTGTCGTCCAACTTTCTTTTGAAATTTTAGAATTGGTATTACAATATAATGTGAAATTTAAGTTATTATTAAATAAAAAAAGATATAAAATACGATGATTAATTTACCTAATCAAATCAGAGCCTTTAAATAAAAAATAGATGGATAATAATAGAGCTTGATCGGTAGGACTTATAATATTTTCTCACAGACCTCTTCTGTACCTATAAATACACAGAGACTAAGATCCCATAACCTCATATGAGAGAAGCAATTTAACTGGGGAGCAAAGGACGAGATCTAGATCAGGGTTGATTTCCTAAGGTAATCTAGCTGACCTCTTTACTTCTTGCTTTTTCTCCTTTGAGAATTCATACTTAATTCTAAAAGCATATTAATTAATTCGTTTTTATAACTACATCAATAACACCTTACTAAAATCCCATAGATGTAAGCTTTGAATCTTTCTTAGATGATCCTATCCTATAACTCCTGCTCTAAATACGTAACCAATTGTGTACTGATTTGTTATGCAAAGGAAATCGGAACTGGTTTTTTCAGAAAGTATGATCAAATTGCTTTAGATCAAATTGAGTTCATTCTAGATTCGGATCATTAATGAGTCTTATAGAAGTACTTTATTTTGAATAGCTGCCTAATTTTGCTGTTATTTTAGCATAACTCATGGTTTTTGCTAGGGGTGATATTAGGTTGGTCAAATCAGTTCTCTATGTTATTTGGTTCGGTTTCTTTGGTCTTTTTACTTCTTCCAAAATCCAAATTACCCGATAACGGTCAAACCGAATAAGGTTTGGTTTAATCGGTTTCGGGCTATTTAGTTTTCACATTTTTCGATTCGGTAACTTATCAAACCAAATAAGAATTCATATTTGTTCTTTGAGTGCTTTGCTCCAATAATGTTCTCCAATTCATGAATGCCTATTGTTTCCAACATATGTATAACCCTTCATGAGGCCAAAGATTCAAACATCACCAAAGTAAAAAAAAAATGATATAAGAAAAACCAAAATTTACCAACAAAAAAAAATATTATTTCTACATGCCACATTGTATATCAAGCAAAAAAAAAACTAATCTAAGAAAAAGTATCATCTAGCATCAAGCAAAAAGTATAATCTTGGCAATAAAATATAAAATAGTAATATTATAATGTGTTATTCAATTTTTACTGATTCAAATATATAAAATACTAGTACAATATGTTATTCAATTTAATCAAAATAGTACAAATTTGATGGAAAACCGAATCGATAAGAATTCTTATTTAGTTAACCGTTTAACCCAAATACGGGATAATGTTTAACCGTTTAACCCAATTCTCATTTGGTTCATATTCTTATTTGGTTCAAGTGGGTTATTCGGATTTTTTTAGACCCCTAGTTTTTGCACATCATGCACCGTAGACAAACAAAATGTTATCAGTTCTCTAAATTTACATGTTTCACTTGTGTGTTGAAAACAATGACCTGGCAACCTCTTTGAACCATTTCTAATTATGTTCTTAGATCAGGGTTGATTTATATAGGAAAATTTTGGGAAAGAAAAATTAGGTGATTAGAAAATATGATGATCTAACAAAGTTGCATCATGTCGAATATTGTAGGATTGCTCACGCATTGCAAGTGTATCAAAGAGATAGGTGATTAAAACTTCTAGTTCGTTTCCAAATTTATGTGTTTATATTTGCATCTTGTGAGTAACTGGAATTTCCGGTACCTTTGAAATGATATTGTATATGTATGAATTGCAAAAGTATAGTGTTCTTGGAAGAGCAACCATGCATTATTACTCCGTTTTGACATTTTACTTGCCAAATATTTTCGATGGTATGTCTCAAAAAGCGTCATTGGAAAGCAATATGTATATCTAGACGTAGATGTGCTTATCATAATTGAATCAAGTAGCTAGCTATAGTTATTTATATAATCTCTTAGTTTTAATCTATTAAAATATTTAACTTTGCCATAGTATTTGGAAATGAAGTATTTTAATCTCTGAAATAAAATCTTGAATTATATTAAGTTAATTGAATATATGAACTTTGACATAAATATATGTCTTAACTCCATACAGAACGTCTGATTTTGGTTTTCATAAAATCTTTAGTCCAACCATGAACTGTACATTGATCGCCCCATCACATGCATTCAGAGTGACATTTGGGAGCCTCGTTAAACTCACTACAGTTACATTTTCACAGTGTTGCATGTAACTATATATGGTTGATTAGGATATAAACGTTAGACATGCTTAATTTGTGAATGTTGAACACGGTTCATCGAAATATAAGTATAAGATTTTGTTGCCAGTAAACGTGCATTTTAGATCTTGAATTATTGAATTATCAAAACCATATTTTTGTAGTCAAATTTGTTCTAAAATCTGAAGTTGCACGGGCTTAAAACTGTTTACTAAAAGTATCACTTTTTTTGCTTTTCTTTTTTACTCATGATTTTCACAATGAAGTTATTGACATTGGTAATCTAGTTTGGATGTTGTAATTCCTTGATACTGTTACTCAAAAAGCACTGTTTTTAGAATTTGTATTTGGATCGTGTCTTAGGCAGGTTATAATATCAAGCTAGAAGATTGAATAGTGATATTAATTTTGTAGGAAAAAAGAAACATCTATTTAAAAATCATAGCAGTTTAGAACTCTGGATTTGGATTACTACCTCAAGGAGATTTTGGCTGTCTTGCAATCCCCTCATCTTTGTCATCTGTAAGATTAATCGAGCAAGAGACGTTACATGTATGTATGATGGACATCCCATCGACAGCATGGATGCCTGAGCTGGTAAGAGTCGCTATATCTTTTATTCAGAAATAATAATGGTTGTCAGTGTAATTGCCTTAAATTTCATTTTTGTTTGTTAATTTTAGCTTATACATGATAGGAAATGGAAGAGCCTCATGATTTTGTAAATGGACAACAACAGATATACCCTTATTATAGTGACTCTATGAATTCATTTTCTTCAGAAACCTTCAAGGGTCACACTAATCTGGTAAACCAATCTGTTCAAACAACCACCATCAATGAAGATCCGAGCAAGCATCAAGATCACAAGGTCATGAAGACCAGCCCTTTTGCTCCTAGTTATGGTTCCTCATCCAACACTTTCACCATATCTTTTGGAAACCTTACCCTGCCGCCACAGACTAACCCGCACCGGCCCTATGGAGGATCCAAACTGAAATACTCTCATGCAGTGAAGACTGAAGAAAATACTAGTACCAGTCTCAACGAGTTTCATGGATCCATGGAGGTTGCGAGATGGGTTCCTAGCACAAGCAGGAATCCTAGACAAGCACAAGAACATGTTTTTGCAGAGAGGAAGAGAAGAGAAAAGTTGGCTCAGCGCTTTATCTCGTTGTATGCTCTCCTTCCTCAACTTAAAAAGGTACTAAGAAAGCAAAAAAGGTATCTCATGTAATTACTTGATTAGGTACAACATATATGGATACTGAAACTGAGTAAATACACATATAATTTCCACTTGAAAAAGAGTACAAGTCGAGGGTATGAGGTTTTTAATCATCTAAATACACTCATTTGAAGTATGAGGATCCATATTGCTATATGTGAACAGATTCAACTACAAAATCTTAAGAAAGATGCTAGAAGAACCCCTGGTCAAAAGTTCAAACACGAAACCAATTAGTTCGCTTGGATGCAGCCCAGGATCAAACACCTTATAGTCATTAAATGAGTTATATATACTCATCACATGAGTTGTATAACCTAAAGCATGCGCACAGGAGATATATCACTAGTGTATTTGACAAACCAGTAATATATATTGCAAGTCAAATTAAAAACTCCAATCTCAAATTATTTCTGTTACTATATAGATGGATAAGGCTACTGTGCTGGAAGATGCAAGCAAATACATAAAAGAACTTCAAAAGCAAGTGAAAGAACTTGAAGAAACACAAGTCAAGGGAAAACGTATCATCCAAAATTCAACTGTTTCCATAGGTAGATCCAAGCTTTGTGGTGATCCTGGTGGCAAAGACAATGCGTCTTCATCTAAAGAGATTAAAACTTTAAGTAGTAGCAGCGCCTATGATCCTGAGATTGTGGTAAGAATTTCAGGTTGTAGCACACTTGTAAGAATCTATTGCCAAAGAAATCCCTCACTGGTCTTGATAGCCCTTACTGAGATGGAAAGACTCCATTTGGCTGTCATCAGTAGCAACGTTCTTCCATTCTCCAACACTGATCTTCTGATCACAATCACTGCTCAGGTATGTTATTATATAGTTAATTACTTACTCAAAAACATTTGTACCAGAAGAGATTAATGTGTTTTTAATTGCTTCCAAGTTTCTATCGCATTTGGGCTGAAATTCTGGGTTATTATTTTCCTTGCTTTTGTGTAGATGAGTGACGAGCTCCTCATGACAGCAATGGATCTTGTGAAATGCTTGCAATCAGCTCTTAGATATTCTGTGACCTGTACTTAAGTTTGGGGAATTCAAGGAAAGGACAGAAGTTACATGAGCAGTGATGCATCTGTCCCCTTTTTCCCTTTGTAGTATTAGTTAAAATTAATAATTTTTTGGTGCTTCCTATTGACGGCGCCTTGAGTTCCCTGTTCCACGGGGCTCCTTCAAAGCACCCGGATCACATGACCGAGCAAACTTCCTCCGTTCCACAAGAAGAATGTACCCATTCACAAGGAAGTGTCACTCTATAGTTTTTTGAACTTAGCTAGGTCTCCATGAGCCTTTTGAGTAATGGCACCAAGTGAGCCATTTTGACCTCTTAGATGGTTACCAAAACCTGTAGTCCTTTATGGACAGATTACCAAGTTAAAATTTAAACCATAACCATAAAGAATGGTTCTTTTTGGATAGGTATTATACATTCTTAATTCTTTTAGCATATGGCAGAAGTATTCACTTGATATTTAGCAAGATTTTTCCACCTTCCAAACTTACATCAAGAGTGTTCATCCTATAAAAACTTGAAAATAAATTCTTATTCGTAAATTACCATGTCTATGAAAAAATATTTGATATTAGACCAAGAAATGTCAAATTAGATCAATACAATATTATTTGTCTGAAAAAATTTGATTGTGTGAATTTGAGATAGTAATCCTATCTAATCCAGGTAGGGTGGCATTCCCAAACCAAAGTTTTAGCAACAATAATCTTAGAAAAAGACCTCAACATTGCAAAACTCGGACCTTGGAATTACGTGAAAAATAAGTAGCGGAATTTCAACCGATAAATTCCTAACAAAAAAGAATCAAACCTTGGTATATAGTCAAATAACGCCATAACCGTCTGATCTTGGTTTATTGATAGTTAAGTTGAAGAATAAGGTCCCAATAACTCAAGAGGTGAAGAACACTCAAATATAGTTAAAAATCAACTTGTCTCTCTTAACCTGAAAATGCCTATTTATAACCATAATTAAAATATAAGAACTAGAATCCTATAATATCATTGCTATTTTAGGAATTCTCATCCAGGAGCGGACTTCATAGATAAGGTTAGGCATGCTTTACTAAATATTCAATTCTCATGAAATTATACCAAGTAGAGTCTTGCAATCTTAATTGGTCACCTTCATCTTATGCTCCTTCATATCTCCGTTTCACATTATTACTTCTCGAACTGTGTCGATCCTAGTACTGCTTCTCGTATCCGTCTACCTCTGTAGGTGTTGTAATTTTATTTTATTTTGAAGTACATAATATTTATGGGTATATTTCAAATGCAACCAAGTTCATTTGTACAACCAATGCAACCCAATTAATTGGAATATTTATAAAAATGATAAGAGTTCATTTATTATGATTTGAATATTTTTGGAAGATGAATATGGTTCATTAATTATGATCAATACTTTATATTAGAAAACAATCAAAACTTCTATGAAACAACATATTCATCAAATTAAATGGACGGTTCAGATTGGGTTGTATTGGTTGTACAAATGTAAAAGGTTGTATAATAACCAACCTCTAATATTTATATACGACAAATAAAACAAATAAACTCATACACCATCCTCATATAGTAATTCTTAGACCGCTAGGTATATATGTAGATAGGCCTTGGAAAGGATTGTATTAAAAAAAATGTTTCATTTTGAGTTTGTTTGAAACTGAAAGAAAATAAAAAATAGCCATTGCAAGTTAAGTCTTCTAACCCATTAATGTCACATGTTGTGTATTTGTGTTACAACATCACATACTGAAACTAGTAGAATAATTAATTATTAATGTGTTAAATTGTTTATGTAAATATATAACCTCTCAAAAAAAAACTCGTGTCTTTAATTAAAAAGGCCGATTTCAACCTTTATTTATACTAAAGATCATCATCTAATGCTTGAAATATGCATATTGTATGTTGAAATATTTTCTTGAGATGATTATCCGTTAGCCTAAGCTAGCAACACTTCGAATTTCACTAGACTTAAAACCCTTTGCAACCCCAAGTCTTCAAGAAACCTTCACAATTGTCTTGAGAAAGCGGCTAAAACATGAAATAACAATTTACTTTTTTAAATTTCTTATTATAGTATTGTATTTTTATTTCATACTACAGCAATATACATTGAAAATATTTTTCATTTGGGTATCCTATTTTTAAAAAAAAAGTAAACTACTATTTTTGTCCGTATGGTTTGTAAAAGATTGAAATTTTCGTTCCTATGATTTGTAATTCATTGTTATTGTTGTTTTCGTCCCGAGACTAAATCTAATAAAAATCCTCCATTTAATCCAAGGGTATTTTAGTCTTTTTTGGTATTTTAGTCTTTTTTATTTAATAAACTATATATTTTTCTGTAAAAGATTTATACATAAAAAATATGATTTTGTTATTGTTTATAATAAAATGATCAAATATTTTACATACATTTTTTTCATATTTTTGGTCATCATTGTTTTAGTTTCTTGTTAGTTTGATTTTTTACTACTAACGTCATTCAAGTGCAAGCCGTTAAGTACTCATCACATGATAGTATTTTTAATCTTTTCTCTTCATTAGGGACCAAATAATTAAATTTTTTATAGAACCAAACAATTAAATATTTTTAGGCTATTTTTACCAAATAAATGTATTTATTGTATTAATAGAACATGCAATTATTTGGTTCCATAAGTCATTCAATTATACCAAACAAATGTATGTCCTATATAAAAATATTACAATAAATTTTTATAATGTTTTAAAGAGACTTTAAAATAAAGTGTCCAATTAATTTTTTTGATATAACAATTCTGAAAAATGACATTTTTATATGACATCCTTTCGGATTTTTTTATTTTAGAAGCATATGTGTTTATTTGACATTATAAAAAGAAAAGTGTTACATTAAGTTTTTTATATGATATTTCTGAAAAATTGCATTACGACGTCTTTCTAGATTTGTTTTTTTTTAATCATTATAAAAAAAATTAATTGAATACTTTATCTTAAAAATGTTCTAAAAGACGTCTAAAAATCTATAAATTTATTTTAACCAAGTTCTCAACCTGAGAAATTCTATACCAAGAAGCCAGTTGAACAAGAGCAGAGCAAAAGTACTCGTAGATACAGACCTATTTGATAAGAAGACAAGTCTCAGAGATGCAAAGCCTCTAGTCCTAGCATACAGAGCCTTTGGCTCTGCTATGCAGAGCTTCTGGTCCAACTCTGTAAAGTGTTGTGTTCATCTGAAGATCTCTCAAGAGCCATTGCCTATCAAAGCATGCAACGTATACAAGAAGCAGTTATTTCCCTTTTACACATGGAGATCATCTATTGGAGACAGGGGTGGATTCACCATGTAAAAGGTGGGGGGAAGGGCCCCCATTAAAAAATAAAAAAATGAATTTTTTTAAGGTTAAAAATTGTTTTTTTTACTTTCTACCATGGTTCTCCTCCGTAATTTCTTGTTAGGGCCCCCACCAACTAAAGAAAGTATCTTGAAATCAACCAAAAAACTGAAAAGTCCTTCGAAATCGATAAGAAAACCTTAAAAAATCCCTCGAAATAATACAAAAAAAACTTCAAAAATCTCTTAGAATGTGGAATTAGGCTAAAAACACATCGGACGACTTGGTGGGTGTTTAAGCTACCTTAAAGGTGCCCCCACTAGACCAAAATCCTGGATCTGCCACTGATTGGAGAAAGTGTTGACTTTCCTTTTCTAAGCTATAAATAGGAGTTTCTTTGTAGGATTTTATATACTTTTTGAGAGAATATAGCATCTTGTACTTGAGAGAGCTCTAAGCAATTCTTAAGAGTTACTTTTCATACACACTAGTGTGGTGATTTCACAATTATTTGTATTCACTATTTCTTGGTATAACTTCATTTTCTCATATAATCAATACACATGATCACTATGGTGATTTCACAATTATTTGTATTCACTCTTTCATATTCATCATCTCTTAGTCTATATCACGAATTAATGTTTTACTGCTTCCGCTTATATTATCTCTTAAGCATCTTATTACTTGAATTGAGGATTTGGGTTCCTACAGATAAATTAAATCCTTCTTGTGCAACTATCTACCACACATGTCTTCACGGTGTCGCTAGTACCATTTCTCCATGGACCTGATGCACATGCCGATAAAGGAAAAAAGGTTAGGCTTGCATAATGAGTTCAAACAGTTTTCATCATAATCATAAAATGGTAAAACCAAAAGACTGTTGATTTAAATCATAATTTTGCAAATGAAACTTATTTACCGTAAAAACAACATCTTTCCGAACCCGCCATTTTCTTGATGAAAATCCAAATACTCAATTACCCAACTGAAATCCAATACTAACACGACCAAGAATAAAGCTATAAAACATTAAAGCGGAAAACATAGCTTTACTTGAGTCTTATATACAATTACTCACGCATACCCTTGGAAGGGCATAAAATCATCCAAAGAAGACGGGGGAGACCTGATCACCATTGATTGTATAGAACACATAAGTAAGGAACAATTGAATGTTATATAAGCATCACTGACGAATAATCAATCATTAAGATCAACCCCTTCAGGTCTTAGAGTTTACAGAATTGGCAAGCTCAACTAATACGAGATTCTTGCTTGTGGAGTTCCCAACATCAACCATATAGGCCCTTACCTTGATATCTTCAAGATTCTAATTAAGCTAATTCACTTCGAAATTACACTATATGGTCATTGGCCAATGCCCAACTTCAAGAATCCACAACTTATCACCTATTAAGACCCAGTGCCTATTTCCAAACTATAATACGCTAGAAAATACATTATATGGTCATTGACCAATGCCCGACTCCAAAAGTCCACACCTTATTGCCTATTGAGATCCAATTCATGTTTCAATCAATAACAGGGGAATGAACTTCCTAAAATGTGAAATATATCAAATAAATATGTCATAATTGCATATAACTCTAAAGGCTCAACATAGAGAAATATAAACTGGACAATGTCCCCAAGACTCAATTGAGTGAGAACTGAGCCAGA